GATATTGTGATACGTGAATTGTTCAAATTTTTAATGGACTTTATTTTTCAATAATAGACGTAGATATATAATTCTATATGTGAGTAATTCCTATGTATAGTATGTCAAAGAAATTAATATAAGACATTTACACTTTTTTTAAAATTTGCAATATTTTAGGCAAATGCAAGTAGAACAATTCATAGGATTTTAAAAAAACACATTCGATAATATTAAACTAAATGTTTTAAAATGATTTCGTAAGGCATTATGTACAAGAACATGAACATGAGCACGAGCAGCATGATGAGCACTTTGCAATCTTCTTCAGCTTTCCTTTTATGCCTAATACAATGAAAACAACAACTAAAAATACGGTAAATAGAATTAAAAGTGTTACACCAGCTACTGAAACAATGGAGAATGGACCAAATTTGGAATTTCCATTAGTGGACTTTTGTTGTTCTATTCCACGAACCAAAGCTGTAAGTAGTGATATAAAAAGAACTATCATTTATTTTATGGAGTATTCAAATTTTGAATAGATGAAACGATAAGTATAAAAAGGAAATTTAAGTAATCCAACAAAAGTTTCTCACACAATTTTCCATTTGAGTAATGTAAATATATTTGCCGTCTGCTATGAAAAACAAACCCATCGAATCGTCGAAATTTATCGAGGCATTTTGGAGGGTTGAAAGTTACAAGCTCTCAATTTTCGTCCCTTTTGTACGTTTATTATAATTGTAGCATATTGTCATCAAGCACGCGACTAACCAGCAAAGACGTGTCCTCTAATTCCGTCCCTAGTTCAAGAATCTGGAACTATTTAAGCAAAACATTCGATTTCAAAATCAAGCATTCTTTATTCAACGAGTAAAACATTAAAGTATAATTTCAAAAAATTATTTTTCGGATTTTATTCCGTAAAACAACGTTACAGAAAACGCCTATAAAATTCGAATTTTCCCTAAAAAATTCAGTGCAGGTCGATTTAAGAGATTTTTCAAAAACAATCATATCAGTAGATAGGGTATAATATAGAGGAGCTTTATGAATAACTCAAAATCCGGGAAACTCAATATTCAACGAGAAAAACGCTTAACGAATCTCACTTTTGGTGTAAACATCACAAAAAATTGAGAGAGTTTCTGGTCGGAAGCCTCCCTTAAAAAAATTAAAACATAAATTGTAAAATAAGATTTAAGGTAATTCACTGTATCTTTAAAATTTTTATTAGCTTGAAATTATACTGAAGGCAAGAAAAAAAAAAAAAAAAAAAAAAAAAAAGGTAGTGGGGCTTCCAGGCACTTCGTGCCTTCTAGCCCTGAAGATGTTTAGTATAAATGAAGTTCTTATATACGGGTCTTCCAGGAGCTTTTCACAAATTATATATGTTTTCATGTTTTGTCAAGATTTCATAACGGAATAAGACTTTGTCAAGATTTCATCGTAAAGACTTTGTCAAGATTTCATCGTAAAGACTTTGTCAAGATTTTCATCGTAAAGACTTTGTCAAAACTTCATCGTAAAGACTTTGTCAAAACTTCATCGTAAAATCAGACAAAAATAATGTTTAGGGTAGAAGGTTAGATATAACCTCTTTTCTAACCTCTTTTCTACCCTCTTGAATTTGTCAAGATTTCTTCGTAAATGTTTTGTCAAGACTTCTTCGTAAATGTTTTGTCAAGACTTCTTCGTAAATGTTTTGTCAAGACTTCTTCGTAAATGTTTTGTCAAGACTTCTTCGTAAAATCAGACAAAAATAATGTTTAGGGTAGAAGGTTAGATATAACCTCTTTTCTAACCTCTTTTTCTACCCTCTTGAATTTTTCATGAAATTTACACCAAAAATATACTACTAGGGTCATTTACGAAGAAATCTCAACAAAGTCTTTACGATGAAATCTCAACAAAACATAGACAAGAAAGTTCATGAGAAATTAGATGAAGAAGTCTTAACAAAGTCTTTACGAAGAAATTCATGAAAATTCAAGAGGGTAGAAAAGAGGTTAGAAAAGAGGTTATATCTAACCTTCTACCCTAAAATATATTTTTGGGTCATTTACACTCATTTACGAAGAAATCTCAACAAAGTCTTTACGAAGAAGTCACAATAAAACATCTGTCAAAAACCGCTTTTTAACTTCACTTAAAATGCCACGTAAGCTACGTAAGAATATACGTAAGAGGAAGAGAGCATTGAAACATCCAATAGTAAGACTGACACCACAACAACAGTTGCAACAACAAATGCTGAATGACCCCACTATGTTGCAACAAATGTCAAGCAATCCTATGCTTTTAAACCGAGTTCTTGGTGCACAGAGTGGAGGTTTAAGAGCGGCACTTTTAGCGAAAATGGCAGGCTATGGTGGAGCTGCAGACGGAACAGCCTATAACCCTCAAAGTCAAATGAATTTGAGTTCACTCAAAAATCAAATAACAGATGTCAAAAAGTCAAACATAGACATACAGAAGCAAATAAGTGAAAACGAAAAGAAACTAGAATATGACAGACACACAAAGAAACTCAATGAGTTAAACGTAGAGAAAAGAAGAAAGAAGAACAACTGAAAGAACTAAGTACAGAGGAATATGCGAAAAAAGTGTCAGAAAAAGCAGCAGAAGTAGCAAAAATGGAACAAGATGTCATAAATTTGAAAAACCATACTACTCAATATAAAGTACTGAAAGATGAAGAGATAAAACAAAAAGCCCTGAAGACATATATGGATAGCGATGAGTATAAAAAAGAAGTTGAAGCAAATGTAAAGGCAGAAAAACTTTTACAGTTGCAAAACCAAACCGTACAGTATGAAAACTTAGCACAAGAAAGTAAAAATAACGACGCGGCTATGCAAAAGGCAATGAAAAGCGCAGAATATATAAAAGCTAACAATGACTGGTTAGATGCCCAAGCCAACGCTAAAGCAGCCCAACTCATAGGGTCAATAAGGACAAAAATACAAGCGGATGAAGATAGTTCAAATGAAGCTTTAACAAATGCTGACTTTAAGAACGCCTTCGAAGCTCTTCATAGTAAGGTGAAACAAGTGAACGACTTTCTCATCTGGAAAGAAACTGAAGTCTGAAGGTTTCGACAAAGAGTTAAAAGAAGTAGCACAAAATATGACGAAAATAACAGATGCAGCAACGAGACAGGCAGTTCAAAGTGCCTATGACGCCGTTAGAGCAACTGTTGTGAAAAGTCAAGAAAAAGAGTTACAACAGACCAAAACAGACCTAGTAAATGCTTTCTTAAAAACGAAAAGTCAGGTAGGACATTACGCTGCAGATGGAACATATGTGCCAGCTGGTGGAACTTATATACCACCAAACCCTCCAAGAGAAGCACCTGCACCAGGACTACCTAGAACATTTACATCGTCACATGGACATAGACACAGGCATGCACCAAAACCAGCACAACAACCAACAGTTCAAAATCCAGCACAACAACCAACAGTTCAAAATCCAGCACACAACAACAACCAGCACAGCAACCACTCCACAACCAGCACAACAACCACAAACAGAGCAAGGACATAAAAGAAGTAGAGAACAAGGAAACCAAGAATTCTTAAAAATGCTTAAAGAAGAGTGTGGTTTCGCAGATACTGTTGACTTTAGTGACAGATATAAAGAAGCTATTAGAAAGTTCAAGGATGGAAATACTGACCCGAACCTATTTAGCTTTATGACTCAGCACCAAATGGGATATAATTTCAAACCTGGAAAATACAAGCTCGCTAAGGGATATGATTTAATAGCATATCATCCAAATGACATGAACGAATTTACTCCGAGATATTTGATGTCAGAGCTAAATGACAATTCAACTTTCGTCATGAAACGCGTAAAAAATAGAGACGGAACGAAAGAACAAAAGCTTATGAATGCGGATGACGTAGATAGGGAACTTTTTAAAAACGGTCTCGGAATATATGAAATGCCAGCAGATGAGGTACAAGAAACTCCACAGGAAGAACTAGTTCAGATACAACCAGACATGGAAGAAATAGTTCAGCAACAACAGCTAGAAGAGCCTGAAGGAAACGAACAAGTCCTTCCTTGGAAACTAACTTCACAGAACTAGATGAAGATTTGGAACAGCCGAAAAATCTTGACCCTCAACAAGAGTATGCGGAGAATATGGAATATTTCCAAGAGTCTAAAAAAAATTCGGCTGACATAGTAGAAGAATATCGAAAAATGTTTGCCGACATACAAAAGACTCCAACACCAGATGAAAATATTCAGCATAGAATGGAAGAACTGAAAAAAATGTACACAAATACAACAACCCTTTTTACTTACGAGCATTTAACGTTCAATCTTCGGATGAACTCGGTGAAGATAAAAGGTTAAATTTCAAGAAAACATATAGAAATGAAACATTGTTTAAAGTTCATTCAGAACCTAACCAAGATGGAAACAAACCTACTTTTGTTTCTGCAGACGATGGAACTACAATGAGATGGGGTCATAAAGCTAACTCGGATAGGTGGTTCATAAACTTACAACCACAATTCCAAGAAGTTGTAGACGCAATGGAAGTCAATGGTGAACCAGATATAGCTGGTATTTTAAGCGCGGCTTTAATGCCATTGAAAGATATGAAAGATGCAGATATTTTGAACCAGTATGAAATGAACATGGCTGATGGAAATATAACACCTGACGTTCTAGAACATTTATCTCAAAGAACTACACAGAACCATAGAGATGGTATATTTGGTGAAGAGTTTAGAAAGAAAGTTAGGGAGAGAGAAGGAAGAGAACCTATTGTACATGACCTTGCAAACGAAAGTTTACAAAATGTCATAAAAACTTACTTTGCAGACAATGAACCGAGAAGGGATGAATATTTAAGAAAACTCAAATGGACAGTACCAAATGAAATGTTAGTATTGAAAAACATGTTCCTTGACAAAATAAAACCAACTACAGAAATAAACGACGCAAGACTGAAAGATTGGGTAGAAGCTTTCCCATTCACAAAAGATATAGTTGGTAACATGGAAAGAAAACCAGAATGGCTACAAAAACATATATTTGGAAACGAGCATATTCCATATGGACAGGCACTGTTTGAAGAGCTTGAACCGGAAACTCAGGAAAGAGTCATGCAAACAATACGCGAAGACTCAAATACAGACTATGACAAACTCTTTCTAGGATATAGGTTACCTGAGATGGGCGACCAGAGCCAAAAGGCAAAAAGGACATGGGAAATTTGCAACATACTAGATGAACATAATGCAAAGATGCAACAACTTCAAGCAGAGGGCAATGAAGGAAAAAGAAGAGTTAAAAACTCAGTCAGGAAGAAAGTAAAGCTTGGTCCACGTGGGTTCTATTATGACATATAAATCCAACTATTCTATATTTTTACTCATATGAAATGTACGCCGCTCAGAATATAACGCCAACAGTTTTGGATGCTATGAATGGAAATGTTTCCGAATGGTATAACGAATGCGACAATGCCATTAGAAGGTCAGAAATAGTTCCTGGAACTTACGAATATACAACTGCTGTTTCTTATGGAAACGTAGGTGAGTTTGGAGAAGGTTCTTCAACAACAGTAGATATTGCTTGCGACAGGTTTCATATAATTTCTATTGACAACTCTTTCTTATACGTGGAACAAGACATTGAAATAAAACCTTCTGCCAAGTTGTCTGACAAGAAAGGTTGCAATGGAATTTTCTATGTCGGATACCAATATGCTCCAGAAGTTTTCATGGGATATAAGATATATTCTAACTCTGACTTAGTTCAAACAGTAACATGGGCAAACTATGAATGGTTCGCTTTGAGAAACTCAGTACAACCACAAGCTAGAGAACAAACAGACCAGTATGCAACTATTGAGAAAATAAGAAGACTTGACCCTAACGTTCCAGGAGTTTATGTTAACCTTTCTGGACAAACTGCAGCAGCAGTAACCAAAGTAAAATTGAAACTTAGAGTTCCTTTGTCATCTTTCCTCATCTTCAGGTTTTTAAGATACTTGCCAAACTGGGCAGGAAAAATTTCTATCGAACTTACTCCAAGCAAAAATAACTTAGTCATTGCACCAACACAAGACCCATTCACTCTTACAGAGTAGTGGGAACAATAAAATGTCATTCGCCGACTTTTGCAAAAAGTTGACTTAGACTTTGGTTTCTCAAACCTCAACACTGAAGTAAACTATTATTTCAATGCTGCTGGAGATGCTTGGACCCAGTTAAGTTCACATGCGAAAAGTTTGAATGCAAGAGAATAGAAAGCAGACTTGCAGTCTATATGTTGGACCCAGATATTTCAAATGCTTTAGCTGCCAAATATATTGCAGTTCCACTTATGTTCCCTATACACCAAATATCTGTCAAAGACTTTGCAGGTGAAGTTGGAAACCAAAGTGCTGACCCAGGTGCAAGAACAGATATTGCCTTAACAACTGCAATGAAACATGCAGATACTATGTTTGTACTGTTCAGACGAACTATAAATGACTATTCTTGCTTCTACAACCCTGGTATTAAATACCATATAAACATAGATGGCAAATACTATCCAAGAGAAGAATATTCTACAGTTGAGGATATGAGGTCATACAACTTGACATTAGATGCTATGAACTTTAACAACAACTTCACAACAACCATTAACCCTGAAATGCAAAGTTCTATTATGCCATATGTGAAAGTATGGACTCATACAGGAGCTCAAAAAACTCAATATACAAATGGAGACCGTTCAAACTTTTGGCTTGGCATTCCATTTGCTGACTCAGAAGACTTTATGGGTGGTATTTCAACTGTTGGTACTGTACAAATACAATATACTGGTGACAGAGACGGTCCAGATGAATTGAAAGCAAAGAAGTTTACAAAACCAATAGCACTTTTCACGGAAGATGCTCTTTTGAAGATTCGTTCGATGAAACCTGCTGGGGCTCCTCAGATTGGCATAACGACAGCTTCCATCGAGCAGATTTTGGCAGCAGGTCAGTAAGTTGTTCTTGAACTGACTTCTCTCCGTCAAATATTGACAGTACGCCAGTTTTGATATAATATTGTATTATAAACTTACCTTTAGAAATATCTGTAAGTTTTGTTGTTATATTTTTGTCTGCTTCAAGAACTTTCACCATTCGGTTATACCAACTTTCTTTGCTTTATGAAAATATTTTGGTTCAGCAAAGACTGCTATTCTATAACATTTACCATTGTTTGTATAAAGAACTATTCTGTCAATGTATTTGTATTGTTTGTGTGTGTAAACTTTGTTTTGCTTCAATTCAAAGAGATACTCAAATACGTCCATCTTTTTATTCTTAGTAAATGTCATTTCCGAAAAATAGAAGCGTAAGTGTTTCAAAAGGTTTAATGGCGGTGGCAGATGTGAAGTTAAATTCACCAACTCAAACAAACAGTCAAAGTGTTGTTGTCAATGTCAAAGAAAGAGATGTTGAAGTGGGGAAACCATACGAAGACGAAGATGGTATAACAATAGTTCCTGTAAAAGAACAACCAACATACCCTGAAGTTAGCAGAGACTTAAGTTCTGTTGCAGATATTCGAAACGACTACCAACAACTTAAAGACAAACTTAAAACTCAGGAGAAGATTTGTCAAGCTTTGGGTATAATGTTAAACTTGGTCGAACACAACCCTGTAAAAGTGAACTCATATGTCATCGCACCTCATGAAGTTTTGAAAGAACTATTGAAACTTTTGACAGAGGCAGACGATATAAACATCAAAGAAATAGAACCCGACGTTGTTGCTGTGGTGTTTCATATAATGTCATTGACAAGATATACGTTATGAAAGGAGGTGAAACGTTGAACTTAAAATATAGTTTCCCAGACGTCATAAAAATATTTGACGACCACAACATTTCATTAAAATTTACTTGCTAAGTAAATGGCAGAAGACATAGTGGTTTATACTATTACGACTAAAAACCCTGAGTCATATAATTCTATAACAACAAACTTACAAAGTCCTCAAGGACGATATTGTAAACTAACCTTAAACACAATGACGACTAAAGCCTGTTTTGCTCTTTTGACACCAGAAGACTTTGTTGTGTGAATGGTAAAAAATACTTCTTTGAAGATACTTACTCAGATATACCACCAACAGGTTTTGTTGACTTATTTAATACTTTAAGGACGGATGTAACATGTGCTGCAACTAGAGCAGGTTTCATTATGTTTGGATGTCCGACTGAGTTTAGTATAAACGATATGAGCTATAATACAAAACTTATATCTGGTTTTTACTACCAACAGTTTCCTATAACAGGAAAAGGTGTCATACAAGGAATGTCTGTTCCATTGACTTTAAGTACACCTATTTTATATATTGTTTCAAACTTAGGTTCAAAGTGCTATTCGAATGTCGACAGAAACTACTATGACCAAAAGATACTCATGCGTATAAACAACACTTTCTCTGCTGGTTTGCCTATTGTTCATTCGAATGCAGAGTTTTCAGCTTTAGTAAACTCAAACACTTTAGCAAACATAACGTTGACATTAGTCGACGCAAACTTTGTTCCTGTAAAACTTTTATGTCCTATGTATTTGTCAATGACGGCAGAAAGTTTCGAATTGGAAGATGCAACTGGTGAAAGTATTGTATTACAAGAACAACTTCAAAACAAATAGCTCAAGAACAACAAATGCAACAAATGGAACAAATGCAACAACAAAGTCAAGAATAAAAATATTTTTTTTTATTTTTATAAAAATGTACAGAATAGATGTTTCAGATTTTTATGACTTCCAAGCGTTCAGAAATATGTGTCCATTTAGAGACTATAACAAAGCAGTCGAGAATTTGAAACGTTTAGTCATTTATGTCGACTCTGCCCCAGAATGTTATGTTATGAAAGAATGGGATGTTGTCTTTAACAAACCAAGAGCAACAATAGTGTCTGAACAAGAATGTAGACAGAAACTTAAGAAAATAAAAGTCGTACAGGTTGGCATGAAGATGTTAGATGCTTGGGATATCTTATTGTCAAAATTGAAGATTTTTCAGTTCGTGGTATAAAGTTCTATACACCATCTCCAAACTTCTATTCTATCTTCACTGGATATAAATACGAACAAGTAGAATGGAAAGAAAATGTTATAGAAGCTTGGTTAGACCATGTCAAAGAAATTATATGCAATGGAAACGAAAGAGTCTATGAGTATATCTTATGTTGGTTTGCAAACATCTTACAATATCCAAGTGCTAAAAATGAAACTGCTCTCATTATAATTGGAAAACAAGGAACTGGTAAGAACACTTTCTTTACAGATATCTTATGCAAACTGTTAGAGGCTATTCGAACCCTAATATGACAAACTTAGAAACATCTGCGGTAAATTTAACTCTTCAATAGAGAATATGAAACTTATAGTATGTAACGAACTTCAAAGTATAGATACAACAAAGTTTTAAACTCAGATGCTTTGAAGAGTCTTATAACAGACAAAGTTGGAGTTGTTGAAAGAAATATAAAGACCAAAGAGTTTGTGAAAATGTTGCAAATTTCATCATGGTTTCAAACAACGCCGTTCCGATGAAGTTAGAAAGTTCTGACAGAAGATATGTAGTTGTCAGAACGTCAGATTCTCATATGCAAGATACAGAATATTTTGACGACTTAGCAGAAACTTTGACACCTAACTTTTACAACCACTTGTTCTCATATTTCATGACATTAGATATTTCTAAGTTCAATCCAAGACAAATTCCACATACCGAAGAAAGACAAACATTGTTAGAAGCAAACAAGAGTGTATATGAACTGTTTATAGATGAGACTAACTTTGAGTGTTTAGATGAAAGGTCATTGTACGATTCGTATAAACAGTATTGTCAAGAATATGGTTATATGACAGCGTCTAAACGAACATTCTTGGCAAATGTCAAAAATCTTTTAGATGTTCAGAATGGCGTATATACAAAGAAAAATTTTTCTGAGTAAATTTTAAAAAAATATTTTTTTATCCGATAGAAAAGATGACAAAATTCATCTCAGTAAATAAGTACATGACAGAAGTCAAAGAAGAACTAGACCCATTCATATATTTGAATGTTTACTTCTACCATTTTGAAAAGTCTACATTTGACAAAGTTTGGAACATCGAACCCGTTTAAGTTTGCTATTGTGACTAAAAATGGTGCGAAATTTGAAGACTTAGACATAGAAGGTTTGTTAACAGTCAAGGAAAATTTGACAGAAGGTTTTCAAACCTTAAAGAAGGCAAAGCATACAAACTTGTTATACCTTATGAACCAAAGAAAGCAGACGACTATGAATATTATGAGTCTAAGATAGTTGAAGTTCAAGGTAAATTAGGTAAAAAGATTTTAGAGTCTAAGCCAGTGTTTGCTCCTAAAGAGGAAGAGAACATTGACATTGACCCAGAAATGTTCTAAAAATAAAATTTTATTTTTACATGTCATATCTCACCTTCTCTGGAACTGGTTCAGGTTCTTTCTTCTTTTCTTCTACTTTCTTTTCTTTCTTTTCTCTCTTCTTCTTCTTCTCTGGTGGAGTTATGTCAAATTTCTCAGAACCATATTTATGTAAAAGTTCTTTGTCCTTTAATAGCTCTTCTATTCTGTTTTCTATTTCATCTTCAAGAACAGCGCATGTGCCTTCTTTGCATTCTAAGAACTTTTGTTGGACTTCATCTTTCCAATCGGTGTCATCTCTGTCAACAAGTCTGTCATTGACAAATTTTAAGACTGCTCTTTGTAATGTTTTATGGTTCTTGTCATATTCCCAGAAACAGAACTTTAGAACAAATTCACCTTTCTTGTTTACACTATGTAAGATTTTATGGTCGACAGAAGTTTTAGAGTCAAAAAGCTTGTCTCGAATATAGATAGCGAAATCGCTAGACATTTTCTAAAAGATAAAAATTTTAATTTTTCTAAAAATATGTTAGAAAAAAAGTTGCTGACATTGACAAGAAATTTGAGAATGTTTTAAAAAGAACAAGAGGAAGTTGGAAAATGCTCAGATAAAACCCATACATGACAAGTTCTTATTTGCTCAGAATGGTATAACAGGTCTAATCGCACCACCTGGGTCGGTAAGACTTTCACTTATCTTAAAATGGCTGCACAACAACAAGAACTAGATGAGAAGAACCCATTCTATGAGTTAGTAGTCATTTGTAGTACTTCTGGTCAATTCGACCAAACCGTAAATTCGTTCAAAGATATTATAAAAAAGTCTAAGTTAGTATGTATAAAAGATACTGAGTTGTTAGATTGGATAAAGAAGTACCAAAGAAGGGTTTTGAAGTATAATGCTATAAATGAGTATGTCAATTCTAAGTTTAAAGACCCAAATGAGGAAATGCAGAGAATATTAGAGAAGAAACACTTCAGAAACAAACAGAAAGAGATAGAATACATTTCGAAGAAATTGCAATCTTACGATTGGAAGACTTACCCTCACAGATGTCTTCTTATCTTAGATGACTTTGCTTCTCATCCTTTGCTTAAGAATAGAGAACAAGATATGTGTCGAATTCTTAAGAAGCTCAGACACTTTAACATCTCAGTTGTCATTTGTGTACAGACAGCAAAGAGTTTAAGTAAGGATGTTAAAAGAATACTTACTGATATCATATTTTTCCCTGGATTGTCCGAAGACGATTTCATGGAACTTATGAAAGAGTCCCATGGCAGGTAAGTTTGACAGACATGAACTCTGGGAGAAGTACAAAGTCATAAAGACCCTCATACTTCTTTCAGAATTCACATCTACGCGAACAAAGTTCAAATTGTAAAAAGTCAAGCTTGAAAAATAAAGAGTTTGAGTCTTAGTCTGTTGTGGTGCTGGGGCTGTCGGTTCTTCTGGCTTTGGAAGAACATTCAGGAAGAGGAACGTCGGACATTCGTTTGTGTCTTAACCGTCTTTGTTCTGAAAAAGTACAATATTGTCTTGAAAAAGTACAATATTGTCTTGAAAAAGTACAATATTGTCTTGAAAAAGTACAACATTGTTCTGAAAAAGTACAACATTGTTCTGAAAAAGTTCAAGACTTGTTCTGAAAAAGTACAGCTGTACTCAAATTTGAGAGACATTGTACTGAATTTATACAACATTGTCTTGAAAAAGTACAATATTGTACTGAATTTATACAACATTGTCTTGAAAAAGTACAATATTGTACTGAATTTTACAACATTGTCTTGAAAAAGTACAATATTGTCTTGAAAAAGTACAACATTGTCTTGAAAAAGTACAATATTGTCTTGAAAAAGTACAATATTGTCTTGAAAAAGTACAACATTGTTCTGAAAAAGTACAACATTGTTCTGAAAAAGTTCAAGACTTGTTCTGAAAAAGTACAGCTGTACTCAAATTTGAGAGACATTGTACTGAATTTATACAACATTGTTCTGAAAAAGTACAATATTGTACTGAATTTATACAACATTGTTCTGAAAAAGTACAATATTGTACTGAATTTATACAACATTGTCTTGAAAAAGTACAATATTGTACTGACTCAGTATGGAGCTTGACCCCTTAGACGAAGCAATTTATCTAATTGAAATTAACGAGCTTGTTAAAGACTTCCTCAGGCAGAATGTAAAAGGCAAGCTTGAAAAATAAATGGTTCATTTACTCTGCTTGTTTGAAGTTGTCAAAATACTCTGTTATTTTTTCCTTTAACAATGGCAAATCTTCTTTGAAGGTAAGTATTGTACAACCTTTCATATCATAGTGTGTTTGAGGTAACGTATCTTGAACTATCTGTTTAACATCTTCATTTGGTGTCATTGAAATCGGTAAGTTTTCGCGATAGAACCAATTTCTGTCAGATTTGTAAATCTTAGCAAGGTCGTAAAAGCTTTTGTTGTTTCTTCTGACTAAATGCAACATAACCATATCTCTGTCTTCTTCATTTTCCATCTCTTCAGTGTAAATCATATACTTATAGTTCTTTTCCTTTCCTTTTGGTACCGAACGTGGTATTCTTTTCTGTATGTTTTTGTCTTTTGCTTCAATGACTTCATCTTTTGCTTGAAGTTTCTTTTCCATCTGTTCGCGTTCTTGTCTATGAAGTTCATCTAACATCATGAAAATATAACAAGCGTAACGAGGTGAAGCCCACATTGCTACGGCATTTACTAAAAGTCTATGAACATAATATCCTTTCAAACTATTTGGCAAATTTTTACGATTTTCGTACGGAATCTCGTTCCTCGGTTTTCCGAGGAACGCAAACATATGAGGAAATTCTTCTAAAAGTTCTTTTGCCTGCTGGTTTTCAAACCAATGATATGCTTGCTTTGTAGAACGAAGAGCATTCAAAATACTTTGCATTTGGTACATATCGTCTTTGACCGAACGAATGAGACGGAGTTGTTTGTTAAACTGAACCCACTCATATTCTTCATTTATAGCTTCATGGACTATAACTGTTGTTGTGTTCTCTGTTGTTGACATATCTGTCTTTACATACAAGATAAAAAAATTTGTTAGAAAAAAATTAGCGTTATTTTCTTACTTTCACAAAAGACCAAAAATAAACGCTTTACATGTATTTTTCAGCAACTTCGTCAAGAAGTCTGTAAATATACCAAGCATAGCGAGGAGAAGCCCACATTGCTATTGAACTAACTAGGAACTTATGAACATATATACCTTTTAGATGCGATGGTAAGTTTTGTCTGTCTTGGTACATCTTTTTAAGTTCTACATGTTCGAAACTCACTCAAAAGTTCATGAGTGCTATTTAATTCAAACCAGTCTTGTGGTTTCTTAGTATCTGGTGTAGCACATGCTGTCAAAATACTTTGCATTTGGTACATGTCATCTTTGACCGAACGAATGAGACGGAGTTGTTTGTTATATTGTATGTACTCATATTCTTCATTTATAGCTTCATGAACGATAGCAGTTGTTGTGTTCTCTGTTGTTGTCATTTCTGTCTTTACATACAAAATAAAAAAAATATTTTATAAAAAACTAACTTTATTTTTTCTATCTTAAGGAAATTCATGATTTTCATAGAGTTTTGGCGAGTAGGGAAAAAAACGGTCTAGAGAATTTTCACGATTTTCATAGAGTTTTGGCGACTACGTTTTCTTACCTACTCGCTGTGCTTCACTGTTTTCGTACGGAATCTCTTCTCTCGGTTTTACATGGTAAGCAATCTTATGCCATTTTACTCAGATTTTTGTGCTGAATTCAGCAAAAATATATTTTAGGGTAGAAGGTTAGATATAACCTGTCTTCTACCCTCTTTTCTACCCCAGTTATTTTATAAGCGTTTTACATGGTAAACATTGTGAATTCGTGAAATTCTAAACAATTTCGTAGCTTCTATTTCTTCTGTCAGTACATCGAATGTTTTAACAATGCCGAAGGTTTCTTTATATTTCTTCTTGACATCTGAAAGAAGGAAATCGTCAGCTGTTGGATAGTTTTTGTTCAGAAATGTCAACATGTCCATTTTATCTTCTGCTGGTTTCTCTACTTCTTTCTTTAAGTCAGCATAGTCGTTTCGCATACGTTCTATCTCTTTGACGGAGTAGTTATATTTCCTCATTGCTGCTTTACATTTTGAACATTGTGGGTTCATTTTAGCATTGTACATTGAAATCTTACCTGCTAGTATGACTAAGGCGTCAATGGTTTTCTTTAACTCAAAAGTTGCGGGTTTTATCTGTTCATTCCATACTTTACCTCTTCTATCTTTATCTCTTATCTGCCATACACATTCAGCAACTAACGAAACAAAGTTGTCGTAGGTCTTAAACTCCCAGATTTATATATGTCAGAGATGTTCTTTATATACCATATCGCAATCTTTGTCCATGACTTTGTGGTTGCAATGAAATCCAAGAAACTCATAGTTAACCTTACGTATGAACTTCTTTATTTCTACTGAGTCAGTTGCTTTGACTTCTATTTCATCGAATTCTGGAATAGTAAGCTTTTGTTGTTGGATTTCAGGAAGTTTAGGTAGATGGTCAATAATATCCTGCATTTCATAAAGATACTGTTCATTTGTTTCATCTTTCGCACTACAGTCTAAATTACTTGTTAAAAGTTCTTGCTTTATCTTCTGGATTTCTGTCTCAAAAGTATATGAAGAAGGAATGAAGCTTTTCATCTCTACTAACATTGAAGTTGGGTTCATGACTAACGAGTTTGGTGCTGTTGTTGCTAACATGTTCTTACAATAAAAATAAAAAAATATTTTTTTAAAAAAACCAACTTTATTTTTTATTTCGGGAAAACTCATGAGGTTAGAAAACATGTACGAAGAAGTCTTGACAAAACATTTACGTTCATGTTTGACAAAACATTTACGATGAAGTTTCGACAAAACATTTACGATGAAATTCATGAAAATTCAAGAGGGTAGAAAAGAGGGTAGAGCTACCCTTCTACCCTAAAATATATTTTTGGTGTAAATTTCAATAAAAAAAAATGGTTCATTTACTCACAATATTTTTGTACAAAACGACCCCAAACTTTTAACTTCTTTTCTGCAGCTTCTAATGTTATCTTAGCGAGTTCATATTCTCTAAATTCTCTCTTTAAATCTTCTTGTTCCCATTGGTCTAGTTCGTATGGAGAATCTCTATAACCAGAACATATCTCACGTTCATGTTCTATTTGTTTTTCATGCATTTTTCTAACTTCTTCTTCGAACAAAGGTTTTGCATTCTCTACTGTATCTTCAAGTTCTTCTTCATCTAACTTCTCATGAACTTTCTTGTCTATGGAGTCCAGAATTTTTCCAACTGCTATACAATATTTTGGAGAAGCCCACATTGCAATATAGTTTACGAGTCTTGGGTCTACATACATTCCTCTAACCTGTTTGATTTCATCGGGAATTCCTGCATTAACATTGTATAAAAAGCAACCGCGGAATTCCGCGGGGTGGTATATTCTTCACAAAATGCCTTAAAATACTCTTCCCAGGACTTATTTTCCAACAACCTTCTAAAGTCTTTCCTAAACTGCTGACACATATTTGTTACATTTATATAACCATCCTTGTCTCTACGTAAGACTTCAATACCGTTGTAAGTGCCTTTTGTGAATGTTTCGCCATTAGATTTGTTCGTGAACGTTTTTGCTTCGACTGACATTTCTGTTCTTACAATAAAAATAAAAAAATATTTTTTGGTGGTACGTCGGACATTCGTTTGTGGCTTAACCGTCGGACATTCGTTTGTGGCTTAACCGTCGGACATCCGTTTGTGGCTCGACCTCAAAACAAGCATTTTGTGAAGAATATACCAACCGCCGGAATTCCGACGGTTGCTTTTTATACAAGGTTCAAGAGTTTTGTGTGTTTTCTACGATGTTGTCAAAATGTCATGTTGTCTCGCTTTTTCAGAGAAGTTAAAATTACCTGGTGACCTGGTGACCTGGTTCCACCTAAAATATATTTTTTGGTGTAAATTCATGAGTTTTGGTTGAAAAATACGGTGGAGCCAAAAGTGGCTCGACCTCAAAACAAGCATTTTGTGAAGAATATACCAACCGCCGGAATTCCGCGGGTTGCTTTTTTTATACAAAATTCAAGAGTTTTGTGTGTTTTCTACGATGTTGTCAAAATGTCGTGTTGTCACACTTTTTCAGAGAAGTTAAAATGACCGAGGCACATAGGCACATAGGCACACCTAAAAAAACATCTAACCAAAACTCATTTTTCAATACTTTTTCAGCACTTCTCCGTAGTTATATATGAAAGACAATTCGAGATAAAAGTCGTAGTACAATGGAACAATATGTTGCACACCATTTGTTGTGAACCAAACTTGAAAGTCAGAGAAACTGTTACTAGGTGGTTCGTAGAATTTAGAAGCAAAGTCATAAAAGTCCTTACCAATACATAGAAAACTATTGTTGCTTGAACTGAAACTTGCATGACACATGACATTTTGAGGGTCAAACACGTTTCTATAAACTGTCAAATCCGTTGGTGGGCGTATAAACCAGAACGGACCGTCAGGTGGTAATGGTTCGTTCTGGTTTAGTAACCGAAGAAATTGTGCCCAAGAACGTTTGTCTACTTGCCAAAATAAAAACTGTGTATCTCTTGGAGGGTTATTTTCAATCCTTTGAAATGAAACTGTGGAGTTCATCTTGTCATATTCTAGTTTCAGATAGTATGTTCCATTTAGTAAAGAGTCGTATTTTTCTTGAAATTCCCAATAATATTTGTTTATTTGAGTTTGAAAGTCATTTAGAGTCTTCTCAAGACTTTCGTCTGAACGAACTGTAAAGATTCTCATTTCATCAAATTTGTCTAGTAGACCATCATGACCTCTATACCGCCCATGAAAATATACCGCAAACATAAACGCGTTAGTTCTTTTTGAAAACAAAACTCTTCTAAATCCTATTGCCTTTGCATCTGAAGGACTTTGAAGCCAACGAATTGGAAAGTCAAACCTGTAAGCACCGGATGAAATTTCTTCATCTGAAATAGTCATACCGGCGTTTGTGAAGATATAGTCTAACGGTTTTGTATCTGCTGCTTTTGTTCTTTGTTTTTCAACCTGAAACATTTAATATATGTAAAAATATACTGTTTTAAAATAAATGTTTTAAAATAGTATGCCATATAGCTTCTTGAATTTGTTAAGATATATTTTAACGCATTTTCCATCTGTATCTCTAGCGTATACATAAGCATAGCCTGCCTTAGTAAAACATACTTGTAATTTTCTATAGTTTACGCCGGTATAAAAGTAGAAAGAGTCCTGTTCTTCGCTATAGTAGTAAAACTCAAACGTATGCTTGCCATAGTCTGTAATTTCAATTGCTTCATCTTCTAGTTCGTCGACAAATTCGAATACAATATCTCGAAATTTGCCTTTGTTCTTATTGTTTTCAGAACAAGTGACCCAGCGTAAGTTTTCAAGTCTATTGTCATTTCTTATATGGTTTATATGGTCTACAAAAGGTAAATTGTTAGGGTTCGGTATAAAATGAGTTGCAATGACAATATGTTTAAAATAGTTTTTTCCACTCATATCCATAAGAGCATATCCGTCATTTCGCTCCCA